GTTATCCCTTGTTAGTATGTCCATACGACTATTTTGCCTGTTATCCCTTGTTAGTATGTCCATACGACTATTTTGCCTGTTATCCCTTGTTAGCATGTCCCAACGACTATTTATCAATTAGTCCTCAAACACAAAGTGAGTCACAGGCCATTCGGGCTGCATGGAGCACTATTAATTATTTTTTATCTATTAAAAAAAAAAAATCTACAAAGCTTTTCACTGTCGTATCACAGCGTGGGACAATCACAACCGATCTAGGCTCCAAACTAAGTGAAAGCCCAAAGATGGAATTAGAATTTAGAAGTTGATTTTTGAGGAGGGAGGAAAACCGGAGAACCCGGAGAAAAACCCTCGAAGCACTGGAGAGAACCAACAAACAACTCTACTCACATACGACATCGGCAGGACTCGAGCTCGTGCCTCATTGGTGAGAGACGGCGCATTAGCAGCGCACGCCACCGGTGCTTCCCATTTAGTCAAATGCAACTAGTTGGTCAAAGACATAGATGCAAACGAGTTTTAAATAAAAGTTATTACATAATAAATTCAATGTTTTTAAATTCAAAGCTGGCACTTTTCGCTACTAGTAGGCTATTACTTATAGCCAAATGGTAGCTTATCCGAACATAACGCAGCATTGATGATATACCCCTAGTTGGATTTGACTAATGTCTATTAGTCAAATCCAACTAACGATCTACCATCAATGCTGCGTTCTGATTGGATAAGCATGCATAGTGAAAAGTGCCTGCTTTGAAAGCGAAAACATTCCATTCAACTTTAGTTTAAAATTTGTTTGCATTTATATCTTTGACCAACTAGTTGTATTTGACTAAAAAAAATAGCCCTCTCGCCCTCATGGCCTATGAGTCACTACAGGAAGCACGGGTGGCGTAGCGTTGAGAGCACTCACCTCTCATCAATGCGACCCGAGCTCGATTCCCGCCGGTTCGGTGTTGTATTTGAGTAGAGTTGTTTGTTGGTTCTCTCCTGTGCTTCGAGGATTTTCCTCCCTCCGCAAAAATCAACTCCTAAATTCCAATTCGATCACGGAATGAGGGCCACAGGTTTGTTAGCCACTGGCTATTAAGTGCTATACTCGTGAAAAAAGGACGGTTTTCTTTAGCCCATTCGGGCTCAAGGACTAATTGCTAATTATCCCTCAACGGATTTGGAATAACGTCGATGTCTGCGACGTGGCATTAAAGATGCATCAAGTAATAATTGAAAAGTACTAGTATTTTCTTCCATATGTGGGACACCCTGTATCGAGTTCCACTGATCAATGCACGTTAAATCATCGTGGTATCAGCCGGGTAGCCTGTGTGAGATTTGCCATCAATATTGAAAGACAACTGGCATAGCAGTTCTGCCAGAAATCACGATTCAGTAACGTGGAAAGTATTCTAAAACAACTATTAGTTCTCTTTCTCTCTTTCTCTGTGTGCGTGTCTCTATCCCCTGTCTTTTTCTATTTCCCATTCTCGTTTCCTTTCGTTCTCACTCGCACTCATGAGCCCCCCTCCCCCCTATTATTAGATTAATTATTTCAATGATTTTATTTCATTATTTTCCCCTTGGCCATGTCATTAGGCAAGTCGAATTTCAAGTGTTTTGTTTCGCCTTTATATTTTTTTCTGTTGCTTTTCTTTTCGTTGCCATTCCTCCATCAATGAGGAAAATGTAATGACCAATTACCACGTTTTTTTTGAAGAGTTTAAATATGGTATTTTTTATAATTCCACTGGCCAGGTCTTTGGCTGTTTAAGTCCCTGTTCTGACTGATGGCCTTTGCGGGTGGCATCTATCACACGACGATCACGAGGTTGGAACATAAGCAGGTGAAACTAAACTATCAAATGGAAAAAAACAAAATAAAGGTCCTAAAACCAACAGCAAAACCTTCAAGATTTCGAGACATCGTCTTCGTCTAAATGCTTTTGTTATTTAAATATTCGTTTATATTTTTTTGCGTTGTAAAATAATTGTTTTTCTCCTTCAAACGTTAAGATAATTTAAGGGCTATTGTTCGTAATAAGCCGTTGAGTAATTGTATGATAGAAGACTTCAGCATCTCATTTCAACATTTACACCCACATACATGAAGCTGATTGGCTGATTTTTAAATGGTATTGACACTTTTCAAAAACAAATAACGAAAGTCTTGAATCAGCAAAAAAAATGAAAAACAACATTATGAGTTGAAACGGTTTCTCCGTCGGGTCTTCAGACAGTGCGGCGGCACTGTAGTTAGATCGAGGAGGCTAGTAGTATAAATAACTTCATAATATGGACCCAAAGAAGCAACAAAAAGATCAGACTAGAAATTTCACTGAATTAGGACAAGATTCGAGTCTTGACATGAACTTCTATGACTTTAAAGGTGGCCAAAATTCATTTCTATCTCAACAGACCTTGGGCTATGACACAGACTCTGCCTGCAGTTCTGATTTAGATCGGAATATGGGCCTGCAAGTAGTGCCGAGTTTTGACGACGATGTCTTCGCCGACTCTTTCTTTTCACACATTGATTACGAACACATCGGTTTCCACCAAAACAACGACAGTGCTACTACTTATCAACCTGAGGAAAATCTTGGAAAACTTGGTGAAAGTTTAGCTTGTTTGCCAGAAAAGGAAGAAAGAATCGATAGTATCTCGGCAGAGATAAATACAGAGGAAAATGCTACAGGTCCAGAGAGACGGCATTCAGATACAGATAGTCTTGATGTTTACTTGAAACCTTGTGTTATTACTCCAACTAAAGTGGAAGACTTGTACAGTACATTAGAAAGCCAAAACAATATAATCTTTCAATTTCCTCCGGAGAAAATGACAACTCCGCTGGAATGTTCAGAATCCAATGTACAAGCAAATCAAGAAAACGAAGGACTCGATGATTCAAACGCATTTGAAATTCAACTTTGTAGCTTGAGTCATCACGAAGGTTTGAATATTGAATCAGGGAACGACAGGAATTTAAATCCATACCATAGCAACGATTTGTTTGAACAAAAATGTCATTGTTTTTTGAATACGAACATGGGATTGAGTCATCGTCTAGCTAGCCATCACTTAGAACCAGAATCTCGAATACAGACAAACAACGATAGCCCTAGCAATATACCATCTATTTTATCAAATACAACTGAGTTTCAAAAACCGAGCGACTACTCTGAAAGCAGTTCTTTAAACGAATCTTCTTTCCCGCCATTTTTGCTCGAATTGTCAAACCAGAGATGTTTCCCGCTAAAAGAAGCACGTGGAAAACCAGCCAATATTTGTCAAAACATTCCTAATGGAAGCATTTCTTTGAACTGCGATAAAAAAGATTATTTACATACGGAAAACAAAGACAATTCAAGCGATAAGAGAGAGGCGATCAAAGAAGAACCGCAAGGAAAACTGAGCACAGCTATCAACGTGTTTAGGGAAGACAGTAAAACTATTCCTCATCATGTTCAAAATCAAGAACGAACAGCCAACACTAAAAACGATGAAAAACAAGCAGAACCGAGAAAATTTGATAACCAAAACTTCAAACATTTATTAAGCCATTCGGAGACTTTAAAAAAAGAAAGTTGCGTAAATATTTCATTATTCGAGAAGAATTACATGGAAAGTGATGTAGAAATGTCAAGCGAGGTACGTAAAATAGCTACCAGGGGAAAAACACATCACGATACGAGAAATATTCACAACGACACTGAGAAACAAAGGAGGGATGACATGAAGACTCGTTTTGAAAACCTACGGCAAGTTATCCCCAAAATCGAAAATGTAGAAAAAACACCAAAAGTACAAATCTTGAAGCAAGCTTGGAAATATATCACATATTTAGAACAAGAGGAACAAACCCTTGAAATAATCAAGACTAGAGAAAAGGAATACAACCAAAAATTATTGAAGAGGTTACAAAATATTGTCAAAGGAAAAACGACGTCAACCTATATAGGATAACATACAGAATTAAAATTTATATATTTGTAATTATATAAACACTTACTCAAAAGCCTTTGCAATTGGTGCCAGTGTACTTGTGACGATATTTCCGGTTCGAAATGCTATATATTATGATCTAAGATAAAAAAATTGACATAAATATCCTTTTTTGAAGAAAAAGAAATAAAAATCTTCTGATAGAACTACTTTTAAATTCGGACTTGGAACTGTTCTTCACTGACGTCACAGCTCAAACTGAAAACCAATCAGAAAACAAGACGACCCGTTGCTAATACTGATCAAAGAGAATATGAAGTACTTCATATTCTCTTGACTGAGCAAAACGAGTTCAAGTGTTTTATCAAAGTTTCGAAATGGCGAGGAGGGTTTAAAAAACTCGATCGTGAGGCCGCAGGTTTGGTCGGCTCCGCCTCGTGCAACTCTTACACTACCATCGTGCTCCTCCAACTATCCGCGTGCACCATCAATACGATGAGATACGCACGCTAAGCATTGACCATTGCTTAAAGATAATAGGCCGTTTCCATGATGGCGTCATTTTAATATCACTACCAAAACGCTTCGCAATTTTTCTTTCTTATTTAAATGGAGGGAATTCGGTGACTAGCCACTCCCTTTGGAGTTTAAAGATAAGAATTAAGAAGCTCAAATCTAAAAAGGACCATGGCTATATTGTGTCTTAGTATGTAACATCTACCCCCTACCCCACCGCCTTGGAACATCCTTTTGGGTCCGTCGCGTCACTTGATTAATATGTAGAGCAGTTTTCGCATGACTATGTAAAGCTAAGTGCAGCTCTCCTCCTCTCTCTCCCCCCACTACCCTTCCCCTTCCCCTTCCCAGGCCCCATCGCCCTTCCACTCTCCAAATCGCCGCTACCCAGTAAGCGTGCCGTGCCGTGACCGTGACCGTGACCGTGACCGTGCCGTGACCGTGACCGTGATGTTTTCTAGAATTTTATTTAGCTAATTTTTTTCTCGCGCAATGTGATTGGCCTGGCAGTGCCGTTACCGTGGCTTGACCTTGTGTGTGCCGTTAATAGAGTCTATTAACTCTGATAAGGTATAAACACAGTGAAATTGACATATAGTGAGAGATTATCACATGCGTGCATAAAAATGAAAGGCAGAAAGAAAGGCAGAAAGAAAGGCAGAAAGAAAGGCAGAAAGAAAGGCAGAAAGAAAGGCA